AGCAGCATCTTACATTTTACAGGGGCGAATCGCATGCCAAACATACGAAGATTGTTGCTCAAGGTGTTCAGAAGACTCTGCATTTTGTCAGCGTCCTCCCCTAACAGGACTATGTCGTCTGCGTATTCTAAGTCCATAAGACTATTCCCTGGTAACAAGTCGATTCCTAAGTCGGTACGTTCGGTTAAGGATACTTACATTAGCATATCTATGATGAAGTTAAACAGAAAAGGGGAAAGTGGACATCCCTGACGGACACCACTGGTTGTTATCAATTCAGATGACAATTCCCCCTTACACAGCTACGTGAGTTTGAGTAGAGTGCCTTGATTAGTGCAATATACTTTCTTGGCACTCCCTTAATAGTCAAACATTGCCATAGAACCTCTCGATCCACGGAGTCGAAGGCCGCCTTCAAGTCAAGAAATATGGCAATTGTTGGACGCCTAAAAGTGTGCCTATGTTCTAGGATCTGTCGGAGAGTGAAGATATTATCTATGCACCCTCTACCTGGCCTAAAGCCCGCTTGATTTTCCCTCGTTTGTTCCTCCCTAGTTCGGCTTAGTCTGTTCATGATTACTGAGCCTAGGATTTTAGAGACTATGTTCGTTAGGCTGATTCCTCTATGATTATCACATGAGGACTTATCTCCCTTCTTGAATACTGGTATGATAAGTGACTTACCCCAGTCTGATGGAACCGTCTCTGATTCCCAGACGTTACCTAGTACCTTAGTTAAACTATATACTAGCATGTCACCCCCATATTTAAACACCTCCGGAATAATTCCGTCGGGTCCTGCCGCTTTGCCTCGTTTCAAATTACAGATAGCTTTGGTGACCTCACTTACAGACGGCGGGTCAGTGTCTATGTCCCATTCGGGTGTGTGCTGGATGGCGGGGAGGCTCAGTGTGGCTGTAGGCAAGTTAAACTGTTCCTCGAAGTGTTCTTTCCAGCGTTCGAGGCGTCTATCCTGAGAGCTAATTAAGGAGCCATTTTTCTCACAAATAGTCTCACTTATGATTTGCCTTCTCCCACGAATGATGTCCTCAAGTGTCTTCAGTCTCTCACACCTACCCAGTCCCTTGGTCCTGATGGAGTTCCTGCTGTTATCCTTAGGAAGTGTGCTGACATCTTATGCTACCCATTAACTGACATTTTCAATGAATCTTTTTCCAAAAGTATTATTCCGGACTCATGGAAAAATATCAAGGTTGTTCCAGTGCCTAAATCAACAAGTGGACCTACTGTCAAGTTTAGACCCATTGCTATTACCTCACCTTTTTTAAAAGTTATGGAAAGACTTATTTTACTTAATCTTGAACCCTCTTTAAAGCCTTTTATTGACCCCAACCAGTTTGCCTATAAACATAGTAGGTGTACCTTAGATGCCGCTGTAGTTCTATATCATAATATAGTCTCTAGTTTAGATAGAGGAGCCAAATATGTTCGGTGTGCCTTTCTTGATTACACATCTGCATTTGACTCTGTACCTAGGTCTCTCTTGTTAAGTAAGCTTGCTGCAACACAGAGTGAGAGCTGGATAAATAAGTGGTTGTATTCCTACTTTTCTGATAGGAAGCAGTACACTGTCTACAATGGAAAGTCCCCCACTACCTCACTTACTTTAGCTGGTGTTCCTCAAGGTGCTGTTCTTTCTCCTTTTCTGTTTTCTTTTTTCTTACATGACTTGCCACATTCTGATGTAGCCACTTTTGTCAAGTATGCTGATGACCTCTCTGTCTCCATGCCTGTCAACTCTCAGTCAGACTGTTCCAAATTAAATAACTTTCTCTCGGAAATTAGTCAGTGGTCCTCTTCAAACGGTCTTGAGCTGAATCCGTCTAAATGTCAGGTAGTAAATTTCACTTTCAGACGAAAAAGTGACCTACAACAACTAGCTAGCTCACATGGTCCCACTATCATTGACGGCATAGAGGTTGAAACTACATCTAATGTCAAGTACCTTGGACTGAGCATTTCTTCCGATCTTTCCTGGTCCTCTCACATCTTGCTAGTGACTAGAAAGATGTTTCGCTTAACGTTCTACGTTAGGAAGTTTAGGCAGTCTGGTATAAAGCAGTCTTTGCTTTCTCAGTTTGTCAATTCCTGTATTCTACCCATCCCTCTTTACTGCTCCCCATTAATCTTCCCTGGACTACTTAAGAAAGACTTTGCTTCGCTGCATAGGGCACTAAAAGCTGTTAGTAGGGGAAGTGGGATTTCGTTAAACCAACTGGTTAACACAATTGTGGATAGACATATAATGTCATGTAAGAGACTAGCGAATTCTATATTGTCAGACCCCGAACACCCTCTCCATACGCAGCTCTCTCCTTGCATTTCATCTGGTAGAACTAGAAGCAACTATAGGAAGCTATATGCCAGGACTACCAAGTATAAAAACTCCACAATACCTTATCTGGCACAGCTGTTATGTGATGAGAAGACTGTTAGGCATGACACGATCACCTTACTGCGGCACTCTAACAAATAGTTCACATTAGCTTTTGTTCTCCCTTCTTTGTTACTATTATATTGTTGCTCATATATTCTATTACACACTAATTTTATATTTCATATCCTGTGGTGCACTGTTTAAATATGTGAATGCAGTGCTGTTCTTTTTTATTTCTCTTCTTTTTCTTTTGATGTTGTTGCTTTTTATTTTTAAATTCTTATAAAATTTATGAGGTAATTAGATGCAATATTGTAATGCACGCTGAAAATTCCATACCTGTACCACAAATACTGTTTGGAATAAAGCCATTATTATTATTATTATTATCACTCATTTTCTTGTCTACCTTTGTGTGCTATTTGGATCGTGGCAACTCGAACTGCTGCACTTCGGTGCCAAGTTCTATGTTGAATACAGACAGACAGAATACTATTACTACTCATAGGTGTTACAGCTACTTCTAATACTGTTATCACTACAGCTAATAATATTACTTCTACTGCTAAATTAGTAGAGCTACTACTACTACCAAAAATTACTACTGCAAATACTGGTAATAATATTACTAATAATACGACTACTACGGTTACTCTTAATACTAGTGATACTAGTATTACTACAGTTAATACTGTTCCTATTACTACTGATAGTATCACTAAAAATACTTCTACTAAAGCTACTACTACTACTCCAGCTGCTAATAATACTACCTCCATTACAGCTAATACTACTTACACTACTCATACTATTACTAAAGGTACTACTACTACTAATGGCACTACTAGTGCTACTATTCCTACTATTACCACTACTACTACCACAGCTATTGTACTACTATTACTACTATAGCTACTACTGTGGTGAGAGCAGGCTGCTAGCCAATTGGTAGACATTGATCTACGCTGATTGGTGGAAATTAATCTGGGCTGATTCAACAACCGATCACATTTCGACAACAACCGATCACAACAACCGAACATTTCTACAGCTACTACCACTACCACTGATTCTAAAAATACAGCAACTACTAGTTCAACAGGTACTACAGCCAGTAATACAGTTAATATTCAAGTATTGGTTTGTCGAGATTTGATTGTCTGGTTACAGGATTTCATCATGAGCTGACATTGGTTAGAGAACCATTGGAAAACCTGGGAGTACTGGACAGCTGTTTCGTCCTAATCGGCAGGAGTTAGAATTCATGGGCCATTGGATTGAGTCCCAGAAGGTCTTGGGTTCGAAGCCCGCAGTGTGGGTGCGTACTGAAGAAGAGCACCAAAGTAGGACGAAACAGCTGTCCAGTACTCCCAGGTTTTCCAATGGTTCTCTAACCAATGTCAGCTCATGATGAAATCCTGTAACCAATACAGTTACTACTTCTACAGCTGTTACTATTACTAATAATAATATTACAGCTACTACTACTTCTAGTACTAGTATTACTACTACTACACCACTACAAGTATTACTCATACTATCGCTATGACTACTAGTAAATCTATAGCTACTACTAATAAAACTACCCGTACTCCGACTATTATAATACTACTCCGATAGCTTATATTAATACAGTTATTACTAATAGTATTACTACCTCACCTACTGCTACAGATAATACTACGAATACTACCAATAAGCCCATATAGAAAACTATATGCTCACACCAGCAAGTACAAAAACTCAACCATACCCTACTTAGCTCGTGTTCTGTGTGATAAAGAAAGCATTAGGCGTGACACCTATAATTCATTAAATAGTCAGTAGTACAACTGGACCTCGTCTTTCCAACTCATATCATTTATAGGTACAACATTTTCTTTCTTTCTTTTCCTTTTCTCTCTCTTTTTTCCGTTATGTGCTGCTTTGTTTCTTTCTTCCGCTTACGCCAGTAAATATGACAGCTCCTACTTTTCTAACACCTTCAAACACTGTTCACGTTTGGATTTGCTACCGACATGCCAATATGTTGTTGTAATAATGAACTGAGATTTCCTTAATCTATGTAGAATTCTATTTATTGATAATGTACTAATTGGATGCAATACTGTAGTAAAAATGCTGAGAATTCCATTCTGTATCACAAGTACTGTTTTGGAATAAAGCAAATTATTATTATTATTAGTTATACTAATTCTAGTAATATTATACCTGCAAATACCACTGCTAAGAATAATGATAGTAATAATAATATTACAGCTAGAAGTACTACTACAGTTATTACAACTAATACAACTAATGTTACTACAGTTAATACTACTAATAATAATGATACTTCTGGAGATACTACTACTACTGTAGCTACGACTGCTACTACTACAGATACTTGTACTACTACTATTACTGCCAATACATTTATATCACTAAAATCAATAACTACTACTTCTAATACTAATACTATATTTAGTACTACAGCTACTACTGGAAATACTACTATTTCTACAGCTGCTACTACTACTACTAATAATAATACTACAGCGACTGCTACTTCTAGTGCTCTTATCAACAAGTAGGGACAAATGAGAAAAAAGAGAAGGCTGAAGACCGCTGAACAAAGTTCATTAAACATCTGACTTCTTTTTCAACACTTATAAACAAAGGTCTTACAAAAGAAGTTTACAGTTTTATATATGTAGTTGTTGTTCATAGTTGTTCACAGAAAAGAGAGAAGAAAACATTAATTAACCTTGGAATAATAAAGTCAAGTTTATACAATTTTCCCTTGTTTGTAGGAGTGTTTAGTAGCTGCGAAGCTTCAGTCATCAGCTATGAAGAATGTAGATCAGCCTATGACAGGGAATGTGTAAACCAAAGAGAGAGAGAGAGAAAAAAACAACATCAACTGACAAACAAATTCACGAATAGCTGGGGTGAAGTGAACCTAACACAGAGCTACCTTGCTTGTTAAGTATCTTCAAGAAATTTTTCCAAAGCATCACTGTCAGTAGGTAGCATGGTTATATTTTCACTGAATACTGATAAGGCATTGTTCCCTGACACTGTTGTCGATTTATTTTCCTGAAGGGAAAAAGAAAGAAAACAAAATGAAAGAAACCGAGCGAATTACACAATTACAATGTCTCCTTTTCAAGAACTAATTCGCGATTTACAATTTACACAGTTCGAGGAGGTGAACTTTCAACACACTTCGCATAGAAAAAACAAACAAAACAAACACCGAAGTAATTCACATCACAATATGATTTCTGGTTAGATTACTTGAAGCTGACTCAAGCAGTAATCGAAACGAATTTTTGCGATTGGCTAATTGGGCAGTTCAGCGAGGTGACATTTCACTACACTTTTCTTTGCAAATTAAAATTATTCTGAACACAATATATGCACAGTGTAGATACCACTGATATTAAACCAATAGTACTTTTAATAGTCAAGTCGAAATAATGCAAAAACAGAGGACGACCGTTCCTGTCATTTACGGTTGAACTCTTTTGACGTTAGTTTGACCGACAGATGAGCGAACACACAGCCATCCTGCGTTTAGATCACGTTGATCTAGCTGCCAAGCACTACTGGTAGATGTGAGTGATATCCAACTACTCAGGTGTTAATCAATCAACGGTAGTTATGCCTGTCTGTCGTCTCCGAATTGCCGATTTACAACTCATCCGAAACCATCATCAAGACAATATAATGCTTTTCACTTTACAATACTCACTTAGGATAAAATGTCAATGATTTCATGGGTGGATTCTAATGTTATCTGATACACATAATTGTTTTATATGTATTCTGCTTCATGCGCTACACTAAAAAAAATCTATAAACGTTAGCATGCAACACAGCCAGTAAACGTAATAAATAAATAAATAAAGTACAAGAAATATGTCCGACCATATGCTGTTTTTGTTTTATTTTAACTTGGTCTACAATACGATCAACATAGATTCTTCCATTAACATTGATAATGGAAACTTTAAATCCCTCTGCCATCATTCACTGCCATACTCCTCTTGGCATGTTGGCAGAACTTTGCTTCAGCCATTTTACTATTTCATGGCTTTTCTTATTAAGTCTGATACCCTAGATTTATGTAATGCTTTTCACATTTGTTATTGTATTTAGACAGTGTTCTCCTTCACACTCCCGTACTTTATTAAATTCTTCATAACTCAATAATCGTTCACTAAATTGTACTTCTGTGTTTGACAGGATTATTATTATTGTTCCCTTGGGTTCCTAGTGGAACATAGGGCTTCAACTGCACGCCTCCACTTGCTTCTGTCTTCTGCTGTACTTTCCACTTGCATCCATGTTAGTCCATACTGTTTCAGTTCCTCTTCACACGATCTCCTCCATGTCACCCTTGGACGTCCCACTCGCCGCTTCCCTTTCGGCTTCCACTCGAGCTATGGCCTGACGCGCAATGTCACCCAACGGCCACCTCAGCATGTGTCCAATCCATCTCCACTTCCTCCTGCATATTTGTTGGACGATTGGTTCTTGTTTTGTTTGTTTGTTCCCATAGTTTCTTGTTGGTGATTCTTTCCGGCCATCTGACCTTCAGTATAGGACGAACATAGCTGTTGATAAAGGTCTGCAACAGGCTGTTGGAAATATTCTCTTGACCCGCCAAGTTTCTGATCCGTATAGCAAAACTGACCGACTTGATGTTTGTATTGAAAATCCGAATTTTGTTGTTGATGCTGAGTGAAGAAGATTTCCAGATTAGTTTCAGATTGATGAATGTGTTTCTCGCCTTCCCGATTCTCGATTTGACATCCTCGTCCGTTCCACCTGCCTGTAGTTGAGACAATGCTCCCTAGATAAGTGAATGAAGTAACCTCTTTCAAATCTCTCCCGTTGATGGTGATTGGCACCGGATGTTGCTGCTGCTCGCCTAGATTACTAGCTCACTAGTTTTCTAGCCGGTCCCAAGCCCGGATAAAGAGGGAGGGTTGGGGCGTAGTGCTAGCATCTCCACCCCTAAAACTTAACCATATTGCTACAGAAACTTCAACGCATAAATATTTTAAAAATTTTTGACAGGATACCTTAATATTAATAATTATTATTTTACCCTGATGAGAAAAACCAACCAACAACCAGTGCCAATCATCACTAACATCAGAATAAATTCGAGAGAGAGAGAGACAGGTCACTTCCTTCACTCATCAAGGAATCATCCTGTTAAATTTGGGTAACGGCGTGTTGAAATCACGATCGAATGGGCAAGCCACACCTTCATCACTCTCAAATCACTTGGGAAATCATCTTCTGCACTCAGTCATCATAAGGAACAAAATTCGGAAATTCAACACCAAATGTTGAGTCAGTCATTTCTTCTATACGAGTCAGAAAATTGGCGCGTGGGTCACTGAAAAAGCATTCCCAATAAGTCGTTGCAGACTTCTACCAACAGCTGTCTTCACTACCTTCATAGGCAAGAAACAATTGAGATAATCTTTTCCTTAATATATTTGCAGAAGAGAATGTAAATCGATCGGACACACTCTGAGGAGATCGTCGAATGAAATCGTACTCTAGGCGATCGCTCCAGTGGAACCCGGATGGAAAAAGACACGTGTTATGCGTCTGAAGGTGACATGGAGAAGACCGTGTGAGGAGGAGATGAGAAACTATGGGCGATCATGAGACCACCTAAAGAGGGTCACAGAGAATAGGACGAAGTGGAGATGTGCCGTTGAAGCTCTATGTACCATTCGGAACCCAAAGGAACAATAATAATGATAATATATAAAAATAATTTCACCTATCATTATTTACCCCTGCCCCCTTGAAACTATAAATCCTGTGTAACTCAACTTTTTTTTGTAATATTCATATTGTCTCTGACACCACTGAATACATTTCATCCCTGCGGAACCTATTCTTTCTAGATTATACTATGCATGATTAAATCGTTCGATTGTGCAATCTTATTTACGCAATGGCACAGATTGAACTGGGTGGAGCGGAGTTCGAATCCAGAATGATGCATCGGCTGGGAACCGACTGTTGAAGTTAGTGCACCATATCTCCTCATTGATAAAGCGCAAATTCTGTTTTCAGGACAAAAGTGCTTTCATCTAATGGTACAGTATAGACATTTCCAACTGTTTTTGTTATCACGGATTTCATTGGCTACAAGTTCGATCAGCAACTGGCATAGGTTAGAGAATCAATGGGAAACCATAGAGTACTGGATAACTGTGTTCCTGCTAGTTTGGGATATATCATCAGTAAAGACTCACCGGGGGATTGAACGAAGGACAACATTCCGGTGACAAGGTGAGCTCGCGGACAATTCAGCCACTGGGACCTGATCCAATGGCCTTTGAATCCCAACTTCTGCCATCTCGCAATATATATATGTATAGGCGAGTAACTGTTCACTTACACGACTTGGTGGACTATACTGGCCACGATTTCTCACTAGAAGTCCTCCTGTACGGAGCCAGTGGCTAGTGAGCGTCAAATTAATTTTTTTAAGTATTGCTTTCAGAGATTCAATCGGTTACAGATTTGGTCACCCAGTTGACATCAGTTCAAGTTCAGCTTGCAACTTGAGTTCAAATCCCAGTGGGTGGGTACTGGTGAAGAGCCCCAACCTAGGATGAGACAGAGCTACCCAGTACTTCCTGGTTTTTCAATGGTTCTCCAACCGATGTCACTTCGTGATCGATCGGTATAGAAATAGAAAACACAATACAGCTTATAAAATGATAAATTTGAGCTTTATAATCTTAATGATATAATAAAAATGAATTAAATAGGGAGAAATTGTCATAACGTTCAGTGGATTTCACTTAGTTAAAAAAAAAACGAAAAAATAAAACAAGTTCGACACAGATGTAGTAGTTGAGGCGGTTGCAGTTGAAATGATAGCTGATGCTTTGAAAGTATTCGAATAACCAATAGGTTTCGAATCGCTAGACGCTAGTTATTTTACTGTGATGATCGCATATAATGGTCAGTTGTCAAGTGAATAAGTGATTCATCATTCATTCATTCATTCATTGTTCAGCCAATTAACGACTGTCTCGGATAATTCTCACTTCGTAGAATTTTGAAATGAATACCTTTCTCATGGCAGCGTGTTATGTTCGACTAGTGACTGTTGGTGTCACTTAACAACTGAACAGTTGAATTTTGTAGCTCATCAATTCGCCGAAACAAGACTTAAAAACTGAGATAGCGCTGAGCAAAGTTAAACCTTATTAATGCGAACTCACTTCTTCTTCTTTTATAGAGCCTTTTTTAGATTTTGTTCTTGATTGTTCCAGCCCTATGAGATAAAGAAAGAAGGAATAAAGCAATTATTAATCATAATAATAAATTAATAAACGCTAAGGATACAGGCTGCTGTGTCTCATTGGCCTTCCTACCACACACACACACACACACCTCGGTAGTAAACCCACAGAAGGTTGCAAGTGACACTGGCAACTTCATGTCTTAAAAAATATCACAGCTAGTGAAACCTCACAGCTTCAACGCTCTATGTTCTACTCGGAACACAAATGAATAAAAAAGAAAATACATACAATCTTGGATTGTGAACAGTTAGTATATTTCCATAGGCATTGATGATTACAGTAAGAACAGGTGAGGAGGAGATGAGAAACTATGTGCAATCATCCTGGGGCCTGCTAAAGAGGTCCACAGAGAATGGGACAAAGTGGAGATGAGCTTTTGAAGTCCCATGTTCCACTTAGAACCCAAGGGAACAACAATAATAATAATAACAATAGTAAATATCTTTCATTCAGATGTTAACACTACGATTATAATTACTATTGTCTTCTAAATGCCTTATTCAAATTTATCAAAGGGACTAATTGTTTTAATAATACTATCCATTTGTTGAATTCTGAGTAAAACGTAAAGCATCAGTATCACATTTCCATTTGATTCAGTTCTCTGTGACAACTTTCATCTTGCACCACGACTGTCCAGAAGCTTTCATTACATTCTTACGCGATCTCCTCCTCCTCATCCTCATCCTCCATGACGCACTCGGACCCAATCTCGACTTATCGCTACCCGTTCGAGTCCCATTAGACGGCCTCCATGGCGTATGGTGCTACTCGATGGTCTCCTCGGCCTACGTTTATCCATTTCCATTTTCTACTGTATATTTTTTTGCGGGGGAGGGGGGTAATAGGCTGTTAGCTGTTCCCTCTTGATTAACCTTTCTCATTGGCTATCTTATTTTCAGTATCGAGACAAAGAAGGCGGCTGTCAATCAACCTCAGCAGAAGGCAGTTATAAAAACACTCGGTGACGCGCCCACTATGTCTGTGAGCCGTATAACAGCACTGAGTCGATATTACTATTAAAAATCCAAGTCTTGTTCTTTGTGCTAAGTGCTGTCGAACTGTAAACCTATCTCAAAGTAATGAAGCCCTATCCTGCTTCCGGTATCTGCTCCTGATTCTGGCTTTGGAATCCTCAAACATGCCACCTGCCAGTTCAGATAGGTGAATAATGGCAAAGACAACTTCTCTTAGGTTTCTTTTATCCTTCGTTCCTTGTTGTAGCTCATCAGCATTTGTGCTTTAATCGACATAACTTCCTTTATCTATTTACTTCTACTAACCTGTTATTACTACTGGTGTCATTTACCATCGGTTTGTGTTTTTATTTTATTTTACAAATTTGTTAACGCCGAGTTTATCTACTTGATTTGATAGTAGCCTTAAAACCATAGCCTACCGGAGGATCTTCAAAAAGGCTAAACAGTGACATCCAAGTTACAATGGGAACAATGGTTTGGTGATAATGTGACAGGCAGCAACAAATAATAATTATTAGAAAAAGCCAAATTAGAAAGAATACTTAATAAATGGATAAAAACTAACCAGAATTCGTTTTTAAATCTTTTTCAGACTCCAATAATATATGCTGATTAGATGTATTAGATGTATTCATCGAATCAGTCTTTTCCTATACATGCATATATGACGACGAGAATTGTAAGCGTAAATCCATTGCCCAACGAGAATTGAACCAATTCATTCAATAGAATAAGACAAATAGAAAGAAAGAAAGAAAGAGAGAGATATTCAGTCATAAGTTAAAAATACGGCGGTAACTCACTAATTAACCATGTACAGATTTATAAGCTATATTTCTTATATAAGGACCAACGACACAGACCACAGTCAAATCAATTTTTTCAGGCTAGGAGCTTGGAAGTTTCGATAACAACGGTTTCATTTTACGGGGTGGAGTTACTGGCCTCAAAACCCTGCCTTCCTGTTTGCTGGCCTTGCTACTGGCATAGAGAGGTTGTAGGAGTTCGTCGGCCGGGAATCGAACCCCGGACTTTTGTCGTGGTTGGCAAGCGTTCTACAGCCAGACCGCCGACTCAATGTTTCTACTACTACTACTAATAATAATAATTTCTCAGTTATGCTCTAATGTTTCACGGTAGGCAAGCAGAGTGCTTTCTGCTAATCGTAACTCATGACCTCAAGCATTCGGCTTTGAGACAAGGAGTCTTAGGTTCTAGCCCCACTTCAAACAATAGCAACTGAGTAGTATCACTAACCATCAGAACTATTTTCAGAGTGTTCACAGTCTGATTTATACGAAAAACCAGCGTTTAGATAGCTGACAACTGAACAATTAAGTTTTCTGGACAACTGGAACTTGTAACTTGTTGATGAGTGTTGACAAGTAAGACAAATATTAAGTTTTCAGTTTCCTACTAATTGATTTTATATACCCCATTATAGTGTACTTACTTTACTTTACTTCGGCTATCTCCTACGGGAGGATGAGCCAGCTTCATGAACATCTCGAATCATCGCTACCCAGGCGCGGCGTTCTGATGAAGAGAGTTCATGAAGTTTCATGGGAATTTGGTACGAGTGATGTCCCCAGAACCGCTCGGCCTTTTGTTTGAGAGTGCAGCTCTAGCCTTTACACAACCAAGTGTGACATACAAGGCAGTAGGAGTGGAGTAGGGAGTCCACTATCCATTGGCAGCCGGTGACCGGAGTTCGCTTCATACGCCTTTTTGAATGGGGCCAGACATCCAGGACATCCAAAAAGCCCTTTGTCCATACGTCTGCCGGTGAGTTCCAGTGAGCTTCGTACGCCAGTCGTTGGAGGTTTGGAATCAGGGTTTAGCCATCTCCCCTAGACTGTCATCCAATGGACAGTCAACCCGGTGAAGAGCGCCGGGCATCCGCTTTCGCCCTCTCACTTTGGTGAAGAACACCTCCGCCACGTGAAGGTAGTGAGTAGGACTTCCTCAGGAGAGGCTATGTAAGACGCCAGGTCATATGGGAGCACTTCAAGAGGTGTGCGGAGGGGTGGCCAACCCGCAGCGCAAGACACCCACCCCCGACCATCCTGAGGCTTTGGAGGTTATTTAAATATTCTTCTTAACAGGAATAGGAAGAATACCCGTTATGGTACATGTTAGGCAGTTGTAGGTGATCTCTATGAAACCCTAGGGAACCTAGATTTCGTTATCATGTGCCCTAGGCGATTCCTACCCGCATCCATAAGTGCTAAAGCTACAGATCTGACTTTGAACTGTTCGAATCACAGCTGACCTCCTCGTGATTGGTTGTTAGGTGGCAAACAAAGTCATTTTTCTAGTCTCATTAAAAAGCAACTACTACTACTACGACTTGTCCTGGAGAATGGCCCTGCGGCGTTTGAAACCAAGGGTGTTAGGCTCGAGTCTCAGTGGAAACACCACCACTCACTGGGGATTGCAGGCAAATCTAGCTGATAAGTCCCAACACACAGGAGAAAATGATTATCCCACATTCCAATGGTTGGTAGTGATTAATCACCAAATAACATTATTATTTTACTACAGTATATATATATATGTCTTAAAAATCTTCTGTTACCTGTCCCTCAAGCTGATTTAGTTGTAACTGATTGATCATCGCATAGGATAAATCTTTGTTCATAGGATTAACGGAAGCAGTACAAGCGTCCTCTTGCTTGCCATCATGAAAGTCATCATTTTGATGAATATATGTATACGATGTTAAGGATGACTCTGAATCATCATTACAGTAATAAATTTCAATATCCGCTGGATCGACATCTTCACTGAATCCAATAACCATAGGATTTTGTTCAGTTCTTGGTTCATTAGCATGAAATTAAATAAACTGAATGATTAATTAATTTTTTTAAGAATAAATTATAAATAAATAATTAATTGATGCTTTTATTAAATAGCTTATTTACAAGATAAATAGTATTTCTCACTGAAATAGACTAGGCAAAAACAATAATTCAGAAGAATTAATCAGGCATGAATTAATAGGCACTAGATCAACAAGTGGATGTTAGTACACAACCTACTGACTAACACAGAGTGTTCAACATAAGGACTTGGCACAGAAGTGCACAGTAGTTCAGCTTGCCATACTTCATACACCATACAAACGAACTGTGTAATGAACGGCAATGTACGAAAGAAAGAATAATTACGTGGAGAATTATAAGAAAATTTGATAGATCTAGGAGTTCACAAAGTGAATGAATCTGCGCCATTGATGAGAATGATTTTGAATCATGTCACCAACAGTCTCCAAGAAATTAGTTCTTAGAATCCTAATGACTAACCAGGCAGCCAATCTTGTCTTACTCCTGTATGTACCTCGACCGCCTCTTCGAGTTTTCTGATACGTGACACTCACATATAGCCAGCTGTTGAATGCGGTTGATAAAGACTTGAGGTACGCCGTAGTGTTGAAGTGATTTCCAAATTACTTCTCGGTCTACGCTGTCTAGTGAAGGCCTTTTCGAAGTCGATGAAGTTGAGGTAGAGAGTGGTTTGACTGCCATTCCATGCTTTGTTCTATGATGACGATGCGTAGAGATGCAGTTTGATCAGCATATGATTTTCCTTTCCCGAATCCAGCTTGTTCGGGTCAGTGGGGCGGAGTTCCGTATCCAGTGCATCCTCTTTTATCCCCAGGATGGTGCGACTTAGTATTTTACTTGACGTGGAAAAGAGCATGATTCCACGCAAGTTCTTGCAGAGTGAGGCGTAAGTCACCCTTCTTTGGCAGCTTGACGAGGTAGCCAGCCTTTCTTCTAATCGGTAGGTACCTTTCCTTCTACTTAAACTTTTTGCAATAATGTGGTGAGCATATCTGCCGCAGTTTCTGGGTCCGTTTTCAGTGCTGTGGGAAGGGGGAATTCCGTCTGGTCCAACTGCCTTCTCAGCTGGCCTTCAGTAGCTTGATCGCATTTAGTATTTCAGCTTTTGTTGGAGGATTGGTGTCCACTGGCAGCCAGTTGTGTGCATGCTGTTGGTGATGATGGTGTATTTGTGGGCGAGTTGCGGGTGATGGTTGATTCAAGAGTCCTTTAAAGTGACCAACTCATTGTTTTGTTTGTTTCTCCTCCTTGGTTATCAGGTTCCCTTGAGAATCTTTGATTGGGTAAATCTCTTCTCATATAATGTCCTTAGGTCTCTTCTACCTGCAACCTGCCTGTTCTGCGTCAGTCGCCGGCCAAAGTGTCGTAGAATTGTTTTTTGTCATTCCTAGCACTCTTCACGTCTTTCTCGATTCAGTGTAGTGTACATTGAACGCAGCTTCTCCTTTTGTTGTGCATCTTTTCGTTGAGTCGTCTTCTCTTTCGCCATCCTCCTCTCCTCTCCTCGATTAGCTTCCAGGTAGGTGTCCATTGTGAGCCATTCCTTGTCTTGTCTCTTCTTTATTCCTAGAACAGTTGTACACATCTCCTTGAACATTACTTGCAGAGAATTCCAATGTTCTTCCAAACAGGTTTCCTCAGTGATAACACGTAGTGTCTCCAACGTTTCTCTGATGGCTGCAATGAAACTGTCCTTTGTTATCTTGCCTTTCAGTTCCTAGACGTTGAACTTGAGTTGTGGCCTCTCTCCACTTGTTTTGAGGGATTTTAACCTCGCATTCAAGGTCCCTTGAACTAGATGATGATCTTATCTCGTCCACACCTGCTCACCTCAAATTTGTGGTCCAGCAGGCTGGCCGTAACTCCACTTCCTTGAGCAGTATTCAGAGGAAATAAACTTACTCGTTTATACGAAATATAAATTATTATTATGTTGCTTTGTGTATATCCTTGTGTTTGTACAGGCTGCCTCCGATCACCAAGTCATTGAAAGTGCAGAAGTCTGCGAAGAGTTCTCCGTTCGCATTCATTTCTCTAACAGCCTCTTGACCTATAATGAGTCCTCTTCCTGTATTATCCGCTCCCAGTTTGTCTTGCATTCATATCGCCCATCAGGACTTTGAAGTCACCACTCAGGATGGTGTCCAACACTGTTTGTGGTTGTCTGTAAAAATCCTCCTTATTCTCTTGTTCCGCGTTGTTTGTAGTAATGTGAGTAGCATTGCATGATAATTGTGACCTCCCTTCCTTCCTTCCTTTTGAGTTGAATCTTGTTGTCATGATCCTGTGGGATGAAATTGGTTCCCACTACATTAGAGCTCTGACTACCACTGGTGACATCATAATAGCCACTCACTGCCTCAGTGTGTTCGTGGTTGTCGTCTGGGTGATCAGACCGGAGTAGATTACTGACTCTCCAGTTGACAATTTTGACAATCCAGATCCATTCCATCTGTTCTTGCAGATACCTAGAACTTCTAGGCCATATCTTCGCATCTCTTTGGCTACCTGGTCAGTCTTCCCAGTCTCGTATATTATATGGACATTCCACGTCGCCATTCTGATCCTTGCTTTCATCGAGAGAAGACATATCGGATGGCTGACTGGCTTCCTGAATGCCGGCTTTCACCATCCCGCTGTGTCATTTCGCCTCTCCGATTCGAGCGACGAATAAGATTGTTGTTTGAATTTTTGTATTTCTAATATATATATTCTCTGTGTCGAAGTTTCTCTAGCGGTTTGAAAGATTTAGTGGTGTGAGGTTGGCCCTCCGCCCAACCCATCCTCTTTACCCGGGCTTGGGACAGGCTATAAAAATAAAGAGCTAGTTAACTAGACGAGGTTCCAGATCTTCTAGAGTATTCTTATCACTACGACGTATTCCTGTTTTCTCACTCCCCACAACTACACTTAGGAATATTTTCAGTGATGGTAGGCGGTGTTATACATCTTTCTCATACACCATTTATAAACTATCAGTATCTATTCTTCTGTTATTACACTAGGTAATAAAACGGATAAATTTTTTTAGCGTTGCTTCATTTCCATGTATGCTTCACGCTTATTGTTAGTCATCAGAATAATATATAGTCGGTCAGGTCATAGGTAGGAAGCTGTAGGATTTTGTGCTTGTAGACGCTTATCAGTCAGCAAGGCATATGCACAATTATGAAGGAATTCATGTCCCTTAGGAGATTAGAATTAACTCATCTCTGACAGTAACGCTAGGTGACACAGGTTCGAATCTCAGAAGGGAAATAAGTTCCTTCAAGATTGCAGATACGTCTTGCTGACTGGTGAGTGCCGACAAGCATGCAACCTGGATTCAAGGCTTCTCGTTCATCATCTAATCACAACATTAGTTCACAGAGTGCACCAAGCTGGCAAGCCACCTAGTCATCTAGCATGGTGACCATATTGCAAACCTGACTATGATAGAATTCAGTCAGCGCTAACACAAGGGACTAGCAGCATGACACTGGTTCCTCCCTACTGACCAATCAGTATACACACAGGGACTAGTCAAAACACTTACTTGCTAGATTCATTAGACTTCACTTCATTGTGATTTATTTTCATAGGTTGATTATTATTATTAGTAGTATTATTAATACTATTACAGTTGTTAGCACTAGACCCTTTCAAAGAATTTATTGTTCCCATTGTTGTTTTGGCCAGCTGGGATGTAGGAATATTGACAACTGAATATTTTTTTTAAAAATCGAAAAAACCATCAACAAATCAGCTAGGAAAGATGATATAATAAATCAGCATATATGAACGTAGATAAACTAATATTATTATTTAACAGCAGAAATAATCGGATGAAATTGGAAAGAGAAAAACAAATAATTCAGGAAAAACATACCCATTTTCATTTATTCGTTAAATATTTCGTCATGCTATAGACGACTCATCAATAACAGTTGAAATACATTTTTTATGCGTTCATCATATTTTGACTAACACTCACTAATCTTAACATTTACTACTTTGTATGCATTTTAAATACAACGGATAAATACTAATGAGCGAATCCGTATAACAATTTGTATACAACTGTAATTGTACAGTCGTAGTAGTAGTAGTAAATGCAATCGCTGAAAAAAGTCTCTTTGTTGATATTAGGTGGTTCAAGGCAATCAGCAGGAAGGATTGCACCTAGGTTTCGTGCTAGTTGGCACTCATCAGTCAACAAGGCGTATCTGCAAACTTAGAGGAATTCGTATCCCTTCTGAGATTCGAAACCGCGTCACTCAGTGCTACCAGCAGTCAGAGACGTTACCACTGAGCTATTCGGACTCGCGATTGACCTCCTTCCTGTAGGACTGTATTGGACACTTCGACTGGACACTAATAACTAGTGTGATGTTTCTAGTTGAAGAAGACATTGCGAAGTGGTCGCGCAGTGTCATGGATTGGCAGAAGTTAGAATTGATGGGCCATCGAATCAGGTCCCAGTGGCTTAATGGCCGGTCTACGAGCTCGTCTTGTAACTAAAAAGGTCCTGGGTTCGAACTCCGGTGGGTGAGTACTGATGAGGAGTCCCAAACTAGGAGGAAACAGCGGTCCTGTTTCTCCAGGTTTTCCAATGGTTCTCTAACTGATGTCAGCTCATGATGAAACCCAAGGTCTAAATGCGCGTCCTGGATTTCACTGCTAGTCGTCATCCACCAATTAACTTCTAATTACATGTCCAGACATGGTCGAAGCATCTGCACAAGAAGCCGACATGCCAACCTGAGACCGAGCACTTCGGTCCAATTAATCGACAGGAAAATCTAAAATTGAATTTAATAATTAATATGACCCGTTGCACAAGGGGTGGCTGTCGTGGCCCAAGTGGTCTAGTGGATAACGCTTTGGCGTTTGAAACTATGGACACCGAGTTCGAGCCTCGGTGGGAACACCATCATTCGTTAGGGGAAGCAGGTACATCCAGTGACGAGTCCCAGAGAGGGCGAAATGCGCATCCTGGTAGATTCCACTGCTAGTCACCATCCACCGATCAAAACACAATCCCTACAAAAACAAATACTTATAGTTTATTGTTACATTCTATGTTACCTCATACTCATTCTCTAAGGTAAATGAAGCAATTACCGCTCAGTTAAGCTAAGCTAATTGACCATATTACGAATAAACATTCGTTATAACAAAATTAATAACAACAAAAAAGACAACAACAGTCAATATTATCATTAATAACACAAAAGTAGCAAATTTGTTGATAAGAGAACGTGCAAGCAAATCGAATTCTCCGCTTACAATTTACACCAGTCAAGCAGGTGAAATCTAACCATAGTTCCCGCTGAAAAGCAAAATTATTCAGATCTTGGAAAATCAGGGCTTAGATCACCACAATCCGGTTAGCATACACTACGACTGGTTAGTGTGGGTGGTATATCACTACTACTCATCGCAATCTGTCAGTAGTATATAACTTTGTGCAAATGTGCAAATGGTGTCTTGACTACCCATTTATAGTATCAAACAGATCACACATATTGTGATCTGAATAATTTTGGTTTCTAAAGGGAACACTGTGGTGGAGCTCCACCTCCTCGAGCTGTGTAAATTGCAAACTGCGAATCTGATGTTACACCAATTCACCCAAGTAGTTCGCCCGAGAAATCGAGTGGTTTGAACCGATTCTGCTGTCTGAACTGAATCATGGATGATGAAGACGGCCGTGAACGAGCGAAACGGCAGTTCAGCGTTTAAATCCCTTTGATTTGGTTAGCAAGCACTACTGGTTAGTGTGAATAGGATACAACTAGCCATCACAATAGGTCTGTAAGTGTACAGTTTCATGCAAACTTGCAAGTAGGCAACTTTTTGTTGACATTTTTAAATTAATACCAATAGGACAAAACATTTACACAACAACATTTATAATAATAATAATAACAGACACTTAGTAACAAATGAATCAATCATATCACCACCACCATTAACAACAACAACAACAATAATAACAACAACACACACAAACAATAAATGTGAGGAAAAAAGAAGACGGGCATCTGCACATACACATATCGATAGGTCTAGAGGTTAGGGTTCCTGACTTTCACCCCCAGATGACTCGGGTTCAACTTCCATCATGGACCACTTGTGTGGCTGGTGGTGATGCATTATTTCAAATATTCTCGATAGAATCTAGGAATGGCCGTCATTATAGACACCAATATAATTTCAAATTTACACCTAGACGATTGGATTAACAAAGTGTAACACACACATACACACACACGCACAAGCAGGTGCATACGTGCTCACACACACACACACAAGAAAAACAATAACCAAAACTGTAGATTTTTAAATTGAGTTGGTTACAACATGTAAGGCCAGCAACATTTAACCGGTGTTTACGAAAACTAGAAAGCGAAAACAAAAACTGAGTCAAGAAACTACATACAGATACATGCACATCTACACATACACACGTGTATATCACACACGCACACACACACACACACAACCCAACCCAAAAAGGGAAGTTAGCTTTTAAAAATAAAAAGACAAACCAGTTTCAGTACAAAACACAAAACAACTTGCCATCATTATTTATCGCACGAGAAGATGCAGGATGAAAAGTAGACGAAGAAGAAGTAGAAGCAGAAGCTGAAGAAGGAGGAGGAGGAGGAGGAGTGGAAGAAGCAGGAGAAGTGATATTTCTTGAGACAGAAGATGATGCAGAACAACCAGTTGCTTTTGCTTCAGACGAATCCATGTAACTAAAACTGACATTTCATTGTTTTAGAGAGAGAGAAGAAAGAAAGAAAAGGAAATGTTTAAGAAAAATTCATACAACAGTAGACAGACAATAGACAACTGCAAGATGGTGTATATAAGGTTAATCATGATTCAAAAAATTGCGCAAGTTTCACTCGTCTGACAAGCAGACACATCATCTAGATGATATTTGGTTGAAATCGTGAGTTAGTTAGGTGTCAGTCAATTTGATATCATTTCACAGCCAATGAGGGGAATATAGGATTTCAACTTGAGAGCTTTGAAGTTTCAGGAAGTGTTGGTGTTATCTTTTACACAAGGTGGAGTTCCCAGCCTCACACATCCAATCATCGCCTCTTTTTCGAACTTACTACTGGCTAGTAAACCAGACGAGGTTCAGAATTGCATCAGTCGGAAGTTGAACTCGGCCGTCCAGTGCGGCTGGAGAGCATTCTACTACAAACCAGGAAGTACTAGACAGTGCTTTCATCCTAGTCGGCAACACTGTTCGGCAGTACGCATCCCATTGGGATTAAAATCTACGACCTACAGATTGGTTATGAGGCGAATCTGTTGACTATTTAGCCACTGGGACAACTTGAATCATTACTGGTCCTCGAAATTAGTGAAACTTTTTCTACGAAAATACAAATTCCACTAGGTTACTTACTATGTTCTACGTTTCATCTGACAGATTCACATTTTAATAACTCAAGCTTTATGAGATGATTAGTTGTAGAAGTCAAATAATTAGATTAGGTGCTTTTGTTATTGATTTGTTGTATATTAATGTGAACTCCAATGCCTCTCAAAATTAACATATTATAAGTTTCATTAGTTAAACTGGCGTTTCTTACAGGAGTTTTCTCGAGAGAAAAAACGTCATATGCAGGTTTCTGAAATAAATATCTCATGAATTAGCGAGTTATAAACATCAGCAGGCTCATCTGCTGTTAAAATACAAACTTCGTGTTGTGTTGACCACATGGTCAAACCACCAATATCAGTCGATGGGGTTACTGACTGTTGGTGTGTATCATTATGTGGCGCAGAGTAACTGGTTCTCACAGACATGAACAATACATGATTCTTAAATTGGCATATTTTATCAGAGTGGATCACAGTAACAACAGTGTATTAATAGGAAGTTTGACAGCGACTATCTTATTATTCGTTACCATGCCCGGAGTCATTTAACAAATTGGTTATTTAACGTTACCGATGCATAGTTGTTCTCATCCTTGACACACTTGACGAAATACCTGTCCAGTGCTCCCTGCTGGTTTCCAGTGGTTCTCTAACTCATATCAATCATCCGTGGTTAAAATTCAAAACCAACGGAGTCTCTATAAACCAACAATTGAAAATAGCGTGTTTCACTTCTAGAATCAGTCCATATAGTCCACCATACAGTCGGGAGTGAACACCTCCAGAGCACGAATAGAATATCCGATGGCACCCTGTTTGATTTCTACTATTTCTCTATCACATAACTTTGTCTGAGAGAAAAAGAAAGTTTAAGCTATACATTCTTTGATTAGAAAAATAATCTGTTCTACCATTTCTTATTGTTATTATTATTATTATTGCTATTATTGCTGTTATTGTCGTAAATGTTGTTTGTTTCCTTTATAATATGTAACTCCAATAATCTTAGTGTAAAACGATTTTCTGTCTGTAGCATTATTATTATTATTATTATTATTATTATTAAAAACAGTGAGCAGACAAGATGAGTAAAATCGCATTAAAAAAAAAGAAGAAAGAAAACAAGACAAAATGGTCAAAGATTGAAAGGCGAAAATAGAACAGACTGTTAATTTGATTTTTAGACATAGATTTTGTTACGAAAAACAACTATTATTATTATTATTATTATAGTCTTAATGTACCAACCGACGACTTTATTGACAAAAATTTTACAATTTAATACTCTTTTTTTAGTTGTCATCATACACTTGGTTAATCAATGAACTAGTAAAATATGTAGGTGAATAATTCCTTCAGTGCAGAATACACACTACTGAATAATATAAGTAGTCGACAATTGTTTATTATCAGCGTTATTCCTCCTTTAGGTAACACAAGTAGAATAATATAGGGGGATTTCTATTCCACCCGCTAAGCTACCTCACTAACTCTATGACTTGCCACAGGCTTTCATCTTCCAACAACATGATTTCTTCCTCGTTGTGCACACACTCAACTTGTTGTTTGGCATTTGAATTCCACTCGACGGCCAGCATAGCATACTGGGACGTCACTCAGCAATGTCTTCAAGTAGACTTCTAGTCTTTCTCTATTTTCCTCAGCATATTCCTAATGAGTAATGGGATCGGGTCACTGTCCACCAGAGTGTTCCTCAGTTGACTAACCTTTCTCGCTGGTTATCTTATCTTCACTATCGAGTCAGAGAAGGTGGCTATTATTGATGAAAGTCAACAGAAGGCTGTTGGAAATAGTTTTGGTGTCATGCAGAAGCATTGACTTGACATTAATGTTTATGCATTATGCTCTTTATCGTTGACTTGAATGTTTTAGATGCCTACACTGATTTCAGAGTAGTGACCAAGAAGTGTCTTGCTTTCCTAACACCCTGATAAACTGTCAATACTAATCAGCAAAAAATATTCGAATGATTAGCTAAATGAAGATTAGTTAAGTAATGAATGAATTAAAGTATCACTTGTTGTTGTTTATGGTGAGTACGTGTGAATGTAGAAGAAATAAATGCTTTCAATTAGTGTTAAGTAAATACAAATTTCACAGTTAAATTAACTTTTCATTTGAATGAATTTGAAATAATGTTGATTAGCAGCAGAATTTACAAAATCGAAGACTTACAAGCGAAAACCGACAAACTGGTCGAAGAAGCAGCAAAGACAGGACTCCAGCTGAACATAGACAAGACGGAGGTTATGAAAATAACCAACCAACAACAACAACAGCAGCAACATCCAGCGCCAATCACCATCAACGGGAGGGATTTGAAAGAGGTTGCTTCATTCGCCTATCTAGGGAGCATTGTCTCAACTACAGGAGAAACGGACGAGGATGTCAAATCGAGAATCGGGAAGGCGAGAAACACATTCATCAGCCTGAAACCAATCTGGAAATCTTCGTCACTCAGCCTACATCAACAACAAAATTCAGGTTTTCAATACAAACGTCAAGTCAGTTTTGCTATACGGATCAGAAACTTGGCGGGTCACAAAGAATATTTCCAACAGGTTGCAAACTTTTATCAACTGTCTTCGTTCTATACTGAAGATCAGATGGCCAGAAAGAATCACAAACAAGAAGCTATGGGAACAAACAAAACAAGAACCAGTCGCCCAACAAATATGCAGGAGAAAGTGGAGATGGATTGGACACTCGCTGAGGAGGCCGTTGGGTGACATCGCATGTCAGGCCAGTGCTCAAGTGGAACCCAAAAGGGAAGCGGCGAGTGGGACATGGGGGTGACATGGAGGAGATCGTGTGAAGAGGAGTTGAAACAGTATGGACTAACATGGATGCAAGTGAAAAGTACAGCAGAAGACAGAAGCAAGTGGAGGCGTGCAGCTGAAGCCCTATGTTCCACTAGGAACCCAAGGGAACAATAATAATAATGATAAAGCAACAGAATTAATATCCAACTATTGATACACACATCCATGTTACTGAGGTCGCTTTCTCAAAACATCAGTTAATCTGAAAACACAGGACTACTTAGATGGTGAAACCAATAGATCAAAAGAAGTACATGCAGACAGAGATGACCGAAACTGGATTATTTTTGTGGAGATCCGTAGACAGCAGAGGTCAGATTTCATAGGTTTGAAAAAGGAATTCACCTTTCAGTGCACTGTAAGCCCAACGCCTTCGATTGGTAGACTAATATTCCCTAACTAGAATTGATAATATTGAATAATTGTAATATTTTTGGAGCAATGTCAATGTTATTTCACCCCCACCTTCGAGGCAATATTTCTTTTTACTAAGCAGATATTTAGTGATTACTACTTTAAATCTTGCTACATATAATAAACTCTCCCACTTAACCACCTGCAAACACAATCCCAACATATTAATATTGATATGACTAACTGAGGCTGTTTCAGATAGCTTTATTTTAATTTACACAGTTTCTCCCACTAAATACAGTCCAATTATTAATCCGATTTACTGAATTTCTTTTGAGCGTATTGTCATGGACTTGATACTCTTTACTCACGTTACTAACGGAACATAAAACTTCAAGCTTTCGAGAGTTTCAGTAGCGTTGGTGCTCTTGCTTTTGTTATGTTAGTCTCCCGCTCAACATTCCATCTTTTTCTGGGTTTACTATCTCCTAGTAAGTAAACTGCAGGTGAGGTTTAGAAGTGCATCAGTTGGAAATCGAACCACGGTAGTCCATATGATTGGCTGGTGAGCACTCTACCATATCCGTAGAGTGAGTTAAAAAAGTATAAGGATTCCAATGACTGGTAGAAAGGCTATATGAATGCAGAATCTGTTTCAATGAGGCATCTGTTTTCTGACGCATATTGTCTTCACAAAAAACATCTCCCTCAGTGAATTTCGTGTTTCCAGCAGACTACTGCTAACCAGAAAGCTCTACTTCTCACTTAGATGCCAACAACCACACAACACAGTCAATAACTCTGTGGATCTAGGCTGTACGCTAAAGATTACTTTAAGAAGGCTTAGTCCATTCGGTAGGTGATGAACTAGGACTGGTAATACACACTGTAGTCATATCAGATCATAAAAATGCATAATCTCACCCATAGTTTACCTCATACTATATGACTAACTTAAGCATTACTGAAATAGTACGCATGCAACACTACAAAGTCGTTGGGCAGTGAGATGGATGAAAGGAAGCTAAAGAGACATAAAATATTACTGGATACCTACCTAATGTAATGTTGTTACTACTTGTCTAAAACTTATCCTGACTATCCGTATATATCTCCAAAAAAAAAAAAAAAAACAAGTCAACACAAAAAATGTAAAGAATGCCAAAATAAAAACAAAAACAAAATGTTCATGAATGAATAGTTACCGTTGTTCTGGTGTTTCACCCGCCTTTGGACTTAATTCATACAGACAATTCATCATTTCGCTATGATTACGTTTCAGTTGATAATGTAAAACATCACGTTGTAAGCATAGAAAGGGTAAGTTCAAGAATTTGTACACATACATTAAACCTAAACCGGTTTTCATTGACGATTCACAATATTGTACAGGGATGGAACGACGAGTTGAACTGATACTGAAATAATAAGAAGAAGAAAAGAATCGATTTAAGATTACTTGCGGTTACAGAAAAGAATTCAATGTATTAGATGGTTGGAGGCGATCGACAGGAAGGCTTGCCTCACCTAGGTTTCGTGCTAGTCGGCAGTCACCAGTCAACAAGGCGTATCTACAACAGTGAAGGAACTCATGTCCCTTCTCAGATTCTAACCCGTGTCACCCAGTGCTACCAGCAGTCAGAGACGTTACCACTGAGCTATTCGGACTCGCGATTCACCTCGTTCCTGTAGGACTGTATTGAATACTTTGATTGGACAGTAGTCAGTAACTAGTGTGATGTATTTAGTCCTTGCTTGGGTGCAGACTGAATATGGATGAAAAGGATAAAATTCAGTCTGCACCAAACAAAGGACTAGACACATCACATTAGTTACTAGTGTCCAATCAAACAAGCCATTGTGGAATCAACACCATTTAGTACAAAAAAACAAGATCCGAATCTTAAAAACAAATCTGAAGGCAGTGCAGAAATATGCCTCACAGACTTGGTCGTGGATGTGTCACCAGAAACACTTCCAACAACTGCCTTCAGTGGCAGGATCCTGAAAACCAGATGACCGACCAGAAAGGTTAGGCGACAAGAAACTTTGGCAACGAACCAGCCAAGAACCTATCGTTCAACAAATATGGAGAAAGAAATGAAGATGGATTGGACATAGGCTGAGAAGACCATTGAATAACACTCCACACACCCCTAGAGAGGCTGCCGAGTGGGAAGCTACAAGTTTGGTGGTAGTTCGACGGTAAAACGGAGAAGGTTGTGCTGTCAAGAAATGAAAGCTTATGGACAGTAGTGGAATCTGTTAAAAAAAGACGGCAGAGATGTGATTTTGAAGCCCTACTTTCCACTTGGAAGCTAATACACGAATTATTAGTTATAATACAAGTTGTAGGAGAGGATATAATTATTCATGATTGGTCACTCTGCAAGTTCTAATATATTCATCATTATTTCGACTACTTTATGTTAACTAGCAATCGATATACACCAAATATTTTATTCATATTTAGCAGTTATCCGTTGGATTATTTTTATACACTGCAACATTATACGCCGAGTTTAGGTCTCAGTGATACGCTTCATATATATACTGAAACATACATCTTGGATACATTCTATTGCTGACAGACTATATCAACCGGACAACAGTTCACTTGGGTAACTTGAGAGTACGATTCAATGGATGTAATCTGCGTAAACCGTGATATACCAAGAGAAGGTTGAGTAAACATGCTTCATTATATCTACCACACACACGCACACGCACAAACACATTATGTAGTGGCTTCAACTTGAGAAGTAATAGTAGTAGTAGTGGACTAGGCTCTTCACCTTAATGTAATTCATTATACAAAACAAACTGTGAATAGATTCTTACATGTTACCATCATTGACTTCCACACAATCTTAAGTTCATCTCTAAGTACAAATTTGTTTATCTTACCCTTCCGTAATAAACATTTGTTTCACTTTTGTTTTATTGTGATTTTTACAGTGTCTTTAGAACATCACTTTCAACCAACAACAACAAAAAGGTTACATACATAAATACATGAAAAAAAAATTTGTTTATTTGCTATTCAAAATAACTAAGGATTGTAACTTTAATCTCTAGTGCGTCTGACTATGAACGGTTGCCGATGTATTCATTCATGGAGATGCTTGTGCCTTGAAGTTATTCACTTAATCACAAAGCACCACACACGCACACACCAATTCACTTCTAAGTTCGAATACAGAGGATTTAAGAAAATTAGGGGTAAGCTAATTAAAACTAACTGACTTACTAACTGGTTTCAACATGGAACTTTGCACAGATGTGCAGCAGTTACCACACTCCCTCCATGTAGCACACAAAGCAAGAGAAGAGAGTAAAGAAAAATTCGAAAGAGAGAGAAAGATAATAAACAGAAGTGTGAGGGAAAAAGAATAGTAATATGGAAAAACAATAGAGCTTCATTGGATATGACAAGTCACAGAGATTGAATGCATCTGCAGTACTGAGGACGACTTTGAGCCATTTCACCTATTGTCTCCAGCCTTGATTGGTTTTTATCGTCCCGAGGACCCAAACCCAGAAGTCTACACTTTCATACGTGACGTAAACTAACTGTTATGGATTTCATCGACGGATGAAGAGATGTTTTGGTTTGCCCACCACTGGCTAGCTCTTTTCCAACCTGATCCATTCTATGCCAGTCAGCTAACATTGTCCATTGTCGAGGAAGGTGATCGATGGCTAGGCATACATAACACATGTCTTAACCATCTCAATCGGTGTAACTTTACAAATTCGTCGATTGATTTTCCCTCCTTACCTAGCACTCGATCGATGCCTAACCTCAATATTGTTCACCCGATTATACCACCTAACACGGGAGATAGAACGCAGACGACTATGTTGAAAAACAGCTAGCCTCCTGATGTCTTCCACTTTCAGTGATCATGTGTCACTCACAGCCATAAAGGAGGACGGAGCGAACTGCTGAGCAGTACACTCGGCCTTTGGTCAACAGTCAGATGTCACGTCTACACCAGACCTAAGTTAGTAAATGCTATATGAGCTTTTTGTATTCGTGCTGAGACCTTGTCCGCAATCATTCCAATGTGGTTGATACAACTTCCCATATAAGTGAAATGGTCAACACGCTCTACCACTTCACTGCCTATCTTTAAGCTAAGAGTCAATGTGATCTAGTCCTGTAGCATCATCCTACATTTGACAGGAGCAAATCGCATTCGACGATGGCTGTTCAAGGTGTTCAGAAGACTGCTCTGTTTTGTCAGCGTCTTCACCTAGGAGGAAGGACTATATCATCTGCATGTCGTAAGTCAACGAGATTATTCCCTGTTAACAAGTCAATCCCTGAGTCTCTGAAGTGAGTAAGAGTTAGGTCCATTAGTACATCTATGATGAAAATGAATAGAAATGGCGATAGCGGGCATTCCTGACGGACACCACTAGCTGTCACCAGTTCAGATGACAACTCTTTGTAGGCTCTTAGTTAATTAAAAAACATTTGCCTGAGTCCTGTTTTTCCATATACCTGACTATAAACCATATTTATATTGGTATGATGGCTAATGATGCCGCTACCCAGTCAGTCACTCAGACTGAAATAGATGGAGTGGGATTCAAAAACACGATATCCCCACTGGCTGAAAGTTAGGTGCTGAAGCCAATAAGCCACATCTTCAACAATCGAAAATTGGAATTACTAGATTTTAAATCAATAATTAAGGAGTACTATGCTCACTTCTAGATGTAGCAATTCCAATACTGCTCCTGTAAGTGGTTTATGAGCGACAGGAGTCAAATAATTCTGTAACAGAACACAAAGAAATTCAAATTAACCTACATCTAATGTTCACTAGCCTCGTAGACTAACGAACATAATTTCTCTCTTCAATTTATAACAGACAACTGCATGTATGTTTGTATGTATATACACCGTAAAAGAAAAAAGCTCAGTCAATTCCAAAATCTAATTTGTGCGCTTTATTCAATCTGATCACAGCAGTGACTGACAGAGGTCTGTATTACATCAAAATATCCGATAGGTATTAAATCTTAGCTATGCAGAATTCTTATCAAAAACATACTACAAAAACTACTTTAAATGTTAGATGACTGGAGGAAATCCACAAGAAATCGGGAGCCTAGCTAGGCCTTATGTTTGTTTGCACTAGTTTTTCAAGGCATACTTACAAACTTTGGAGGAATCGATGTCCCCTATGAGAAGATTCGAACCCACATCACCCAGTGCTGAGTTCAGAGATGTTATTATTATTGAGCTATTGAAGCACAGGATTGACCGCCTATAGGACTGTAGTCGCCACTTAGGAGTAACCAATGCCATGCATGTAATCCTTGAAGTTAGAGTTGATTGAGTGCTATCGGTTAAGCTCAGCAAAGATATCTTTCCGGGGATTTCAACCTCAGAAGCTGTACAGTTGCGTTTATATACACAAGTTTAGACGGACAAGGCCCCCAGTGCGTCAGTGGCATAGCGGTTAGGATGCTCGCCGATCATGCACATGGTCCGGGGTTCGATCCCCGGCCGACGCACTCCTTTACCTCGCTAAGCCAGAAATAATGCTGGTGAAGAGGAAAGGTTGGGCATGAGGCTAGCAACCCCATCCTGTAAAATAAACACTGCTAAAGAAACTTCAAGCCACTAGCTTGAAGCCCTATGTTCCACTGGGGAACGTGGAGGGAAAAAAAGACAAATACAATTATTATTGATGGTAATATAACTGATTAAGTCACAACTTATATATATATATATATATATATTTAAAGTGATCATTTATTTCTGGTTCCATATGAGCTGAAAAAGGAGGAAATCGGCAAAATGGTTGGAGGGTTTCATCATGAGCTGATATCAGTTAGAGAACCACTGGAAAACTTGAGAGTACTGGACAGCTCTTTCGTCCTAGTGCTCGGGACTCTTCATCAGTACGCACCTACACTGCGAGGTTCGAACCCAGGACCTACTGGTTACAAGGCTGGCTAGCTCATAGACCATTAAGCTACTGGGACCCGATTCAACAAATAACCCGATCCAGCTCATGATGAAACCTTCCAACCAAGCAAACACAATTCTTACAAAACCAATACTTGAAAATCTGCATATCTTTCTTTACAAAGCTTAGATCAATAGTCAGTGTTTCCATTAATTTTATAGCTGCTGTCCAATACAGTCTGATTTAAGCTAACATGGAATGTTTGTGGTGAATCAGAATGCATGCGTGAATCAGAGTGCATGCTTTATTAATTGCCTTGACCTTATATCATAATATAGCTAATCACACACACACACACTCACACACGTATACACTCACTCCTTGTATAGTGGTTTCATAATATCTGTTAGAAACAATGCACAAAGACAAAAAATACTGCTAAAGCATTCTTTAATTGCCTTTATTGCAAAATAATAACAAAAAACTTA